CTACCCCGTGGGGCGGTGCTACTGAATGAAGTGTCTTTAGGCCATTCCCAGGGGGGGGGGGGCATTAACATCTCGAGTTATTATGCACTGTAGAATTGTAATTTTAAATGGGCTGATTCATCACTGTCATGCTCATAACTGTGCCTGAACTGCAATACGGAACTGCTGCTTTTTTTCCTAGCCCTTCCTATTGTCATTTTTCCTCTACTTCTTTTGTATGTTTGTCACACTCTTGTGACCCGCTATTTCCGGGGTGCCTTGATAATCGCTGTACTGTAAAACCTCTACTACAACAACTACTTCACGCAAAGACATCGGAAAAACTAGCTTGTTCAAGCTGTTGAATCTGGAGCGAGAAAGACAGTGACAGGGTAACGTAGCAGAATTACCCCCTCGTTGCTCTGCTTTTCACCCGAATTAGTTTTCACTCACAAAGTCCCTGTTGGTGGAGCGCCTTAACCCGTTCCGTACGTCGTGTACCATCGTATCCATATGACGTGGGGAACTCTGTGCCACCACTTTCCAAAGAAGAAATTTACTCGTTAATCCGATCCGTATGCTTTGCAAAGCAGTAGTAAAAATGATTTTTTGAGAAATACTGAAAGTTTTAAGGAGGTCTTCGATCTAGAAATATTCTAAAATGTGAAGAGTACAACCCTTGGACTACTTACATACTTATTCTCTCCCTATACTGTCAGGTACTTAAGGCGGAGAGCTGTCGACGCAACACTTGCCTGTCCCCAGCCACGTCCTCCAATTTCCGTAAATCCAGGCCCTGGGTGATTGCCTCATCCCTTATTGAGCTTGAATAGCTTTGAGTCATTCTTCCTCGTTTCCTTTTTCCATTTGGTTTCCAATATCATGACCGATAGGGCAGTCTTGTGTTCGGCATTCTTAGGACATGTCCTAGATATCTCCATCTTCTCCTTTTTATGATTGTGTTGGTATCTTCAATTCCAGCTCTTTCCAACACTTTGTACTTAATTCATTCCAAAGACTACTGTCCAGACAAAGGGAAAAGGGTGGTTAGCGATTACAAGCACTTTTGTACTGACCTGGTTGTTGTCTGAGAAGGTGGAAATAGTTGTATTTGTTATCATCCTACTTTGTTAAATAATCTGTTATGCCGGTCGTTACACTCTCAGATTTTGGTTATATTCTATTCTTTTATTTTTCTTTGTTTGAACAATCAACAGAGAATTGTGATTTACAACCAGAATATGACATTTTATAAGTTTTGTATTTTGTTCTCATCCTACTCTCTTTAATAATTTGTTATGTCGGTCGTTACACTCTACGATTTGATTATACTCATTTCATTTCGATTTCTGCATCTGGTGTGGTTGGCTCCTTCTTTCCTCTCAAACATCTATCATCCTTATCTTTCTTCTTTTATTTTTGTGTTTGCTACTCTTTTGTAACAACTCTTATCTTTGGCTCTTATATACCCTAATTGTGTTGCAAGTGCCGTAAGGTGATTATTGGAAATAAAAAAGAGGACTAAAGAAGTAAAGAAATTCAGTGCTAAAATAGAACCCAAAAAATTGCCTCCGTGGCTTCATCTACAATAGAGTTATAGCTTTCCACATTTTTCCTCTTTCCCCCAGCCGAAGAAATAAGACAACTCAACAATTTAATTTCTTCTTAAAATTCTGGGATGACGTAAAATATTTTTAGCCTGTGGCTAAAATATTCATTTTAGGCTCAAATCATCGCAGATATTTTGCTTGTGACGTCCGCAAAGAGTGGACATCATAAATCTTTCACTTTAAAAAAAATGATGCCTTTTTTCCTTACAGACGACAGCGATCTTATTATAGAAAGCTTATAAAGTTATATTTTGAAATCGTTGAAAGCCTAGAGTTTGGTATGTTGTATGTGTAGCAAGTTCGTTTTTACAAGTTGTATTGTTCATATCCAGTCATTTTTAAAAACGTCATACAGGTTCTTTTTATAATGTTTATTCATTAAATAAAAGTATAATAAATACAGATTCCTTCGTTAATCCGAAAAGGTTGAAATGGGCTTTTTTTCTAAAATATAAAGCACGTAATATTATGATAGTTTGTGCATTTCTTGGATTTAAGTCATGCTGTATAATCTGAAAGTCTTATCCGAATTATCGCATGTAGTTTCCTTACAAGCACCCCGTGCCTGTTAGGATTACATAATAATATGCTTTCCATCGATGATCTCTTGTTGCTTCCAGACGCTCGTAAAAATGTAATCTTTCAAATTAGGAGCCTTTGTATTCACACAGAGTATAAGCTACGAGCATAATGGGGCCAAAATTCGGTCTCGCACCGCGGGCTGGTGTTTACTTGTTGTGCGTTTCTCCGCAAAATAATCTATCGATTTTTCTGGCTCTGGGAAGCCGTGTGTGAGTTAGTGATCAGTGGAAACATTCCCAGTTAAAGAGGTTTACCGTTTTGTTTTTGTTTTTTCAAGGGGGGTGTTGTTGTTTTTTTTGTTTTGTTTGAGGTTGGGTTTTTTTTTGGGG